TCTTAAGGTTAATTAGTTTTTATAATCTGGAATAAGAAAATCGTTGATTTTAATGTTTTATCAATCTCTATGATTCTGCATCTTCCGTCAAGGGATAGTGTTATCCATACCAAGATTTCAAAGCAAACTTCTCTACAACATGGACACTATTGTACCACTAATGGTAGTTGCATCAACTACTGGGGATTGCATAATCTAATACATGACCATAAGCAGTATTTGTTTAAAAGTCTCTATGGGACGAATAAAAAGGGAATCAGTCGCTCTACGCTTCTGTTTCAAACACAAATGGTGCCCAAATACAACTTTGTTGAGTCTATCTTAACGTTCTGTCAGCCTTATTTTCTCAAGACAACAATTGCTCTCCGAAGCACCGTCTTCCAGATAGGAAGGTTATCAATAGTTACCTATCTGGAAACCTTAGTTTCGTTACGTTCAATCTCATATGACTGGCTAAAACGTTAGGATTCTATCATAGTACTCTAAACAAACTCATTCACTTCGTCATTGTAGCGTCAAATCATAGTAACATTGTGAATCTCATGGCGATACATACTTTTCGTTTTGACTTCTTACCATAGCTATAGAATCACGAGTTTCAGTAGGTTCTCTAGCTAAATTTATTCTTTCTACTATTTTAATATTTGATTAAGTAGTGTGAATGCCTATAAAATAACATTTTCTTTTTGTCCGGACCACCTCTGTGTCTATATTTTTAGTAACAGCAAAATACTTTGTGAAATCCTACTTCGTGTTATAGCAACGCAAAATAATTGATTGAAATCAATGTTTTACGTGTAATACATAGGCGTAATACAACAAGTGAATATTATTATGAGATAGGTCACATTTTGCCATATTATGTCGATCGACGAGATGTGACTATTTTTAAAGTAGGAGAATACACGCGCTTTGTTTCTGAATACCATAATAGCTTTATTTGATGTAATCTGGAATATTTAGCTTGACTCTTATAGAACGTATAATTCGTCAATCTACCTACTGATTGAATTATTACTTGGTCCCTTCCTGGTTTGAATTGTGTGCTGTTGAGATGGTTTGGCAGTCCTCTTCAGTTTTATTATCAATAGGAAATACAATATCGCACTGGTTTTTGTAATTGATTCTTGGTTTTTCATTGGAAAATAGCGAATCAGTAGTGCCTGGGTTGTTGAACATTGTGAAGTATTCTCGGAAGGCGGTATTTCATAGTCAGATAGAGTATATTGGCTCCGAAATACTACCAATGACACGAATTAAGTTGGCGTAACTGAAATTAAACCAAACCATTAGTCGGTTACTTGATCACAACTTCTCTGATCATATAACTGATTATTTTACTGAGTAATTGGATCAAAACTGTGTTAACTACAGGGTAGAATAGGTAGTAGTAATAATAATATCTTGGCATCCCATTTGAAGTCCTTGTTGGGCTTAATGAAATATAAGTGCGAGATTCCGTAAAATGCTGTTTACTTAATTACGTTTACCATAAGAATGCTCCAGAGTTTGAGTGAGACTTATCCATAGGTAGGCATGTACACGACGGTAGGAATAACAGAACTACCTGTATCACAAAAATTACCATTTTATTGATCTTCATATATATATATATATATAATATATATATATATATAATATATATATATATATACGATGGAATTAGACATGTAACTGAGTAAATCATTTGCTCTCTTTGTTAGTTATGACTACTATTCTCATGATATTAGTAGATGATTTTCCACGATAAATTATGGAATAAACAGTATGACGATCGTTTGCATTCTAAAAAAATTTAGTCATGGATTAAACAATGGTCAGAAAACTAAGTTATAACTATTCGAATCTAATTGTTAATTAATGTTAAGCAATCTTACTCATAAATGAGTATATTGAGATATTATTTCTGATCTAGCGTTTGAGTGATATAAATCTTTACCTACTGTCATTGCTTTTGTTCTCGAGTTGAGTTATAGTTCATCTGTGTGTGGTATGTTAAGGGAGAAGTATTGGTTCGCTGTTAATCCGATAAAAACTTGATAGTGCATACAGTTGGTACTTAGTGACGGTATCAGAAAAAAGGAGCCAATCCCTTCACCTTTCGACAGTAGACCTGAGGCTTTCCTGTTATGTCTGCAAAATGTACTGTTAGTAGACCTTTGTATAATTTCCATAAAATAAAGAAAATTGTCCTATTCACTAACCAGTCAAATGAAAGAACATTCAATGTCTGTAATTGTTATCTATCCTTATAGGATTATAGTACATTGATTTCTTTGCATGTAAAATGATAAATCAAGGCTCTATTGTCTGCTAAACATTGGCGGTTTCTAAACACTTCTGTTTTACTTTTTAAAAACAATAATTTAGTGATATAACGCCAAGTATTCCCCGTTTTTAACGACACAATACGACCAGGTGCGAGATTTGTACGACTACTAGGATAAATACGTGATCAATACACAAAGTGGTTCACGTTACATCAGACACACGATTCAGGACTAGAATATAGAACCAGATTATAGACTAGACAATTCTTTATTCGATACAACTCTAAGCAGTCAACACTCAGTCAGCCGAGAGTAGAAACCAATGATTGGAAGGAATTCACAAATTAAATATTCAGTAACTTTTGCCCGTCAGGTCACACACAAAGACCAATCACATTTACTTTCACTAACCAAACATCAGTTATCCCGTGATATTTATGGAAAGATAACAACCGTTAGCTAGCTTGCATTCATCTGCTCTGGCAATATCACACCATAATTTTATTCTGAGGACCTATCTGCAACCTTCAGTCTCTTGTATATTCTATACATTCAGATCGTTTTGATGACTCATTTATAATTATATTTAATACATCCATATAAACGAAATTTCGTGAATCTAACTAGCTACGCACATGTATAGTAACAAACAAAACTTGTTTATTCCACTAATTATTTCACGTGAATACGATTGTACGTACAGCTCTCAAAGATAAAACCAGAAAGGACATATCTTACGTAACAAACTAGTCTTTTTTATTTTGGATAAGTGAAAACAAGTATTCTATAGAAAATTTTACAGAAAATGTTCTTCGTTGAATAGTAGTGCGCATACCAGGCTTGACTGTCTACGTTGACGTACGATACACATTAGTTTCATTACGATAATGGTTAACCTGGGTGACATGGCTCAGAACCGATCACAATGGTGTCGGTGTGTACACTCTTTGTTTTCTCTTAAACCGTGAGATTAATATTGCTTCATATCCTTCTTTCTACGAACTAACTCTTCTTTCCTGATGTCATTTCTATGGGGCCTTTCTCATTTATTATAAATTCCTTGTTAATTGTGGACGGTATTTTTAAGTAGTGCATACAAAAATGTCAGTTTTCGGGAAACTGGATTCCAATTCAAAAGTATCGTGCTCGCCAAGAGACCTGAGGGTCTTCGAAAATCTGTGAGATAATTGCTCATGTTTTAGTTATTACAAATTTACATGGTAATTGCAGAAAGTTACCACCGTTAAATATTTTAAACATATGTGAGTCAGAAAGTATAGGCTGGTTGACTTGAAGTTCATATCAGATATCTTTAGAAATTCAGTTTAGTACGGAGTACCATAAATTATTATCAAGTTAAGTCATGGAAATCTAAGCACGTCTCATAGCTAAATTGCGTGAAGCAGTAAGGTACGCTAGAGAACGGCGAAATATTATTCAATTGCAATTTTAACTGATCGTTCAAAAGAAAAAGACTCATCATAAAAAATGGAGACATTAAATTAGGACTCATGTATTAACTGTCAAACTTACGAGGATTAAGTTTCAGAGCCTGCTATGTTCGGTATACCAGAGAATATCTTGTTCGGATAGTAGATTGTAATCTCATTTTCGGTATCAATATCATTAAGTAACTTAATCTTATGATACGCTTCGCTATGCAAATTTAGACATTTTCCTTTAAAATCGTGAGCACTAAATATTATTGTTGTTACGATCTTTAATGTATTAGCTGTTTTAAGGTTGCATGTGTTAGAAAAAAGAGGCCCATCAGTGCGAACTGCTTTAAACCCTGTTGAATACTACACACTCTATACCCCTACACTAATTATACGACAAAGGCGTGAAACCAAGTGCTTCTGAGAGGATTGTTTCATCGAAGTCAAGACAACAGATAGTAATGGTAAGAAACTATGCGATATGATTTAATATCAACAGTAGTGCAGGAAAACAACACACTACTTACTAGTGAGTATGCATTGACTACAAACATTTATATAACCATGTTTTATTCCATCTTTTGTCACCTACCGGTAATACTACTCCCAAATTCTCGGCTTTCCATAGTTGAAAGGTTTTGAGTTGTGGCAGTTAACCACATACGAATTAGTTAATATGTGGTTACAATTCATTTGCTAATTTTTTCTCGTATAAGCACTTGGTGGTATGTGACAACCTGGACTAGAAAGCTTTTACTCCAGGTTTCATTCTTTGTTTACATTTGTGTTTAAAGTAGATCAGTGGCCGAAAATACTATTTGTATAACAGAAATTCCTTTTGATTTAATGACAAATCTTAGTACTTATGGAGTAATAAGAGATTTGAACAAGCTGACCTGAATAACATTCCAGGCTTAGTAGAATAGAAAATATGAATATACCATGTTGGTAGGTATAAGAAAGGTTTCGTGGAATAAAATAAAAACAAACTTACATCTGACATACATAGGCCTTACCATTTAGTATCCATAAAACTTAAATAAGTGGAACGTTTTGATGATAACAAGTTGTTCTGTTTTTACATTAGTCCACTTAGCAAAAAGAGCTGTCCCCTGAATCGTATGAACAAATTGGGACTGTGGTAGCTGGCTACATATTACTTGAAGGTTTCTATCAAGATTGTTAAAACATGGATCCATACCAACGTGTACAAATTTCACTTTCAATTCATGAGTGAATGTACAGAATAAAGTAATGTATAGTATCGGGTATTTCTAGAGAAGACGCAAAACATTTCGGGCAGGTATTATTTTATAACGTAATTGTGGAGTATAAATTTAAGTAATCCGTTTAAATTACAATTATAGTTATTAGGAAATATATGTACATCAATAAGGTTTAATATAGATTAGTTTTCTTCATGACCCGAAGAAACTCTTGTTCGTTGACTTCACCATCACCATCGCGATCAGCCTCATCAATCATTTCCTACATAACATACATAACAGTTTTCTTGACTACTTACTTGCAACTCCTCGTCAGTAAGATTTTCGCCAAGTTCTTTTGCCACACGCTTAAGGTTTTTAAACGATATTTTCCCTGTTTCATCATCGTCAAAAAGGCGGAAAGCTTTTAGCATCTCTTCTTTTGCATCTTTGTCTTGCATTTTTACAGCCATCATTCTCAGAAAGTCCGAGAACTCAATAGAATCTAACGGATGAAATTTTTGGTTACGTGAGTTATCATACCTTTGTTGTCGCAATCGAATTCTGTCAAAAGTTTTCTCACTTCTTCTTTTTTTGGTTCGAAACCAAGGGCCCGCATAGCAACTTTCAACTCTTTGATATCGATTGTTCCTGACTTATCAGTGTCAAAAAGGTCAAATGCTTCGCGGATTTCTTGTTTTTGATCTTCTGTAAGTTCATGTTTAACACCACGACCCGTGATCTCCTTCTTCTTTCCCGATGGCTGCTGAGACGGTCTTTTTGTAACTGTGGACTGTTATATTCAGGAATATATATTCAACCAACCCACCATATAAGCACAATCAAATCATTCACTGCTTTCCTAAATTATCAATATCAACACTACATAGCTAGTTTAAAGAAATACAGAAGAAATTTTCGTTAAATGTCGCAGGGTAATAAAATCACTCAGAAGCTGCAGTTTTTATCTTAACTACATTAAATACTATCGTGAAGGTAAATAAGTAACCGGTATAGCAGTGTCATGGGAAAAGCAGGAAGCTATAGCTACATATACGAAAAGAATTTAAGTAGTTGGAATCCAACGACTAATTGTACAGGAATAAGTGTAATATAACTAGTAATTTTTCGACGGTGCATGCAACAGTTACATAAGTATTCAGTCTAGTATCAGCATCCACAGGGGCTTGAATCAGTCGGCCACATGAAGTCCCTATATTATCACAAATATGACTGTGTCCATTATACTTTTAGTGCATAAAGGATCGCTAAAAACGAGTTAAATAAATCAAGTAAAAAAGCTTGGTAATTATCATTGGACATTATGCATTTCCAGAACTAGTTGAAACACAGTGTATATCATTAAACTTTGTATGTGACCCAAGTAAAAATCTTTTGGAAGAGGTTTACAGGCTACTGGTGACGACTGTTCTACACGACTCAACCCCTTGTGTGAATAAAGTTTAATTACCGGTTTCAGTAATTGCTGGAGTTATATAGAAATATGTTACTTCTTTACTAACCAGTCTTTACACGAAATTCAATAATCTAGCCATCCGCTACATTTTGGTGATTAGGCTCTTTCGTTTACTTCCTGTAGTTTGAAAACTGGCTTAAGGTATTGTAGGGTCAGCAAAATGTCACTAAGCCCTAGCCAAATCATACGGCAGCTGGGTCATTGAATATCGAGCAAATCATCGATCCTCGTCAAGGTCAGGGACAACCAACGCGCATCAGTTAGTCGTATGCCATGGACTGGCCCATGCGGCAGTGGCCTTACTTTCGCTTGTATCTACCTTAACCAATACATTTCCGTAATAACGTCCTCTGTGTTGTACAGTCTCCAAAGCACCTATGGTACTTTGATACGTCAATGGGGTAATCCACGTAAGGTGCTGACCACGAGGTGTGACTTCGACGTTAGCTAGTTCGTCACACCATTCACGTCTAACTCGAGTGGGCCTCCAATCATTTTCGACATAGATCATCTACGTTGATGATCTACACTGGTGAGAAAGACTTCGAATAACGCAACATATCACTATAATCTTTATTATTGCATTCTATACTTATTCTCTTTCATTTTTATCATCGCCTACGTTATTCTATCACTGTGAACTTTCGTTGCTTCATGTCAGTGTTGATTAGCATTTAGACCTAAATAATAAGTTCAATCGATAGAACTAACTAATCAACTATGTTTATAATCGGCTATCCGCGCTTTTCGAACGGGAAGTTTAGTCCTAACGTGATTTCCATTTATCAAACTTTTGCTGTGTTCTTACACAACAAAAGTACCATTTCTGACCAAAAGAATCTATCCTGAGCTAAGCGTTCGGTAGATTACTTTTTTTGAGTTTCACCCGATTTAATAGTTAACTGTGGTTTTGCCTCAGCTTACTATTCGGTTTTCTTTTCACTTTTTCACGTAAAGACCAGTTCAGTTTACCTCATCCGTTTTATCCATTTTTGTCCGTTTTCAGTGTGTTTTTTAGTGTATTTTTTACGATCTTAGGCTTTTGCTAGCATCTACAACACAGTTTACGTCAATACAGTCATGAAAAATTCATGCAAATGGTCTGGATGCCGTTTTACTGTTACATCTGGCATGCAGCGCGGCAACTGCAAAGGTTGGTTCCACGAAGCGTGCACAGATCTCACAGCAACTGCCTACAGCAGACTCAGCAAGTCGGATCATAAGTGGGAATGTGTTACGTGCAGCACGGATGCTGCAGTCTTGCTGAGTAATATCATTGTCCTACTGACAGGTCTGCAGAGCAAGTTGTCGGCAAACTTGGGAAATGACAGTCAAAAAATGGGTAGACAAACAAGAGAGCGCATTAAAATCGAGAACAGAGATGTCGACAGGTCTACCAACGACGGAACATGCGACAGCATTAATGATGACACGCTGAAACTCAGCACCATGATTACGACGACGGTACTCGACTCCCTCAGCAAACTCGGGTCTCATAGCTCAAGGTCCTTGAACGCGACAGTGGTTCCCAAAAACTCTGTAGGTGATTGGACCCATGTCAAAAGAGCTAAAAAGGGCCAGGCGTCACAGTCTAAGTTGAACATCCCAGCTGTTGAACAGAAGTCAACTGGTGATCTGGTCGCACAGTCTACCCCCAAGATTGTCCGTCCAGTCATCGAAGAGCCAAGGATTCATGAACGTGCTTCGACCCCCAAACAACAAGGTGCTAAACCTGGATGCACCGGAAAACCTGGGACGACAATAACGGTTCGTGATGACTCTCTCATAGTCATGGACTTCAGAGACAACCCTGACCTTCCTCTCAGTTTGCAGGACAAAAATGATAGGATGCTCTGGGGAGGATTGAACAAGAAACTTGGACTTCCAAGAATAAAGCCTTTGGCAGTCACACGGCTCACTCGGGAAAGGAATCTAGGCATCAAAATCACCCGAGGCTACTTCGTGTAACACTTAAGAATGCTACCAACGTAGAGGATGTTTTACTAGCTGGCCACTTACTGAAATCAGATGGGAATGTAAGAATACTGCCTGACGTACCGTATTATGAGCGCAATTTCATCCAGAACATTCCCAAAGAAACTCGCGATCAGTTTTTCTGCGGGAGGAATATAATCATGCAAGGTTTACCGGAAAATACGGACCCTACTCAATCAAAGACTGACATCAGGGAATGGAAATTCATCAAACAGTCCTTGAGGCTCAAAAACATACTGACTCAGCATGTGACGAGACTAGCCAAGAAGGATGGTGATCCTAGACCCCGTCTAATGAAGATAACCTTCCCATTTTCCCATATGGCGGCTGCAACTCTGGAAGCATTTCGTGCCAACAGACGTCGACTGCCACCTGCAATCCACATGCACCCGGATAGGCCATACGAAGCTAGGACCAAACACAAAGGCAAGCCAAAGCTGATCATTGCACTTGTGGATTGTCTAGACGATAAAAAACGTGTAATGGACAGGGCCTACCACTTCGGCAAACCTCACATAGGTGGGCTACCTGTCCATTCACTTAAGGCTCAAACAGACAAACAGGAAGAAGCTCACGCGTTCCAAATTGAAAGCATAAACTGCTTATATATGAACGCCGCGAGTCTACCAAACAAATCGGATGAACTACGTGAACTTAACAATGCTAATAAGGCCTATCTGATAGGAATATCTGAAACCTGGATATCTTCTCAGTTCTCGGACCAAGAGTTAGCATTACCTGGTATGTCTTTGTTCCGCAGCGACAGATAATCAGGATTTGGGGGCGGAGTAGCTGTTTACATACGTTCTTGCTTGGAGGTGCATCAAGTTCATAACCTCGAGTTTAACGATCTTGAAGAATCTATAAGGCGCTTTGTAAGATTGTCTAGTACTTTGAGGTGTCTAGTCGGAGTCATTTACAGGAAGTCAACTGCCGACATCGAGTACGATAGTCGTATGCTGGAAGGACTATCCCGTTCTACTCGTCTCGGTTTCAGACACATCCTGATTCTAGGGAACTTTAATCTCCCTAGAGTCAACTTCGCGGAACACACGTATACTGGAGGCGACAACTCAATTGAAGCTCGGTTCTTCAACCTCATCGATGACTTGGGATTGTACGAAAATGTGAGGTCGGCAACTCGTTGGAGAAACAGTTAGACACCATCTCGCTTAGACTGTGTATTCACAAATGAAGAATTTCTAGTTGACAACCTCTCAATCCTGGCTCCCCTGTGAAAAAGCGATCATGCCGTCATAGCCTTCAGTTTTCTCAGCAAAACTAAGCTAAGATACACCACCAATAACTTGCGTTGGAATTTTAAACGGCTGAATGTGCCAGCTCTACATGACTATCTACAACAGGTGGTTTGGGATGTTCACCCTCAAATCGATGTGGATGGTCATTGGGACTTCTTACTGCACACGCTCTTATGTGCTACAGAAATTCAGTTCCTCAAACGGTTCCCAAAAGCTGCAAGCCACCTACAGTAATCAAGAACCGTACCCTTCGCCTGCTAAGCCGCAAAAGGCACTGTTGGGCAGAATACATACGAACTAATAACGATGGAGCGTATAGGCAATATAAACATATCAGGAACATATGCACGAAGGCTATAAGAGAAGACAGGCTTCAGTACCAAACAAAGCTTATGGACAAGTTCGCCTCTAACCCTAGAAGCCTATTCCGTTATGCAGCCTCTCTTCGTCAAGCCAAAACAGGAGTTTCTCAACTGGTAGGTCTTAACGGCCCGACCAACAACGATGGCGACGCCGCTGACCTTCTGGCGGCACATTACTCTCAAACATTTCAACCGGCTGACATCAACTTTACTGACGACAGTTTCATCTGCAATTCCACAGGACTCTCCGAAGTGAACCTAAGCGCTGACTTGGTGTTCCGGAAACTGAAGCACTTAAGATTAGACACTTCTCCTGGCCCGGACATGGTCCATTCCGCCATACTGGGGGAAGCAGCCTCAATCTTGACAACGCCGCTTAGCGTGATGTTCTCACACTCGCTAAGTCGAGGAAAACTACCGGAAAATTGGAGGCTGGCTCACATCACACCAGTTTTCAAAGCAGGTCAACGCAGCGAATTTTCAAGTTACCGACCGGTGGCTCTTCTCTCCATACCTTCAAAAATCATGGAGTCCCTGATATACGATGGTGTAAATGACTATTTACTGTCCTTAAATTTCTTCTCACCCCAACAGCATGGTTTCAGGAAGGGTTACTCTTGTATTAACAACCTGCTGACTGCGGTGGACAGATGGACAAGCATCCTTGATCACAAGGGAAAGGTTGATATCATCTACCTAGATTTCTCAAAAGCTTTTGATAGGGTTAACCATACATGTCTTATCAATAAGCTCAAACGATCGGGTATCAGACCACCTCTAATCGATTGGCTCACTTCATACCTGAAAAATCGACAGTTTAAAGTCAGGGTTAATTTCACTTTATCTCAGGCTATGGAATGTCCTAGTGGGGTCC